CTCATTACTGAGTCCTTTTTTTGACACTTTGATTTCTGTTTTGGGGGGGTTCGGTTTTTTTTGAGCTATGGTCTTAAACTTGGCTGCATATCAAGCACATATAACTTATAGGGGAAAAAAATAACTCGGGAGTGACGAGCCGGGGAGGTAACGGGGAGAAACTCTTCCAGCGGAGAAACTTTTGGCCCCTGCCATTTGTCCAAATGTTTTCCAAGTGTTCTGATGCGCTCCAGCTAAATCGGAGATCGCGGACAGATGTTCCTGATTTACTGGGAAATGTTCTGCCCCATCAGTAACGAGAGACACGCAACAAGAATGCACAGCGCCGACGCTGCCTGAGAACCGACACAAAACAGTTTTAAAGGGGAAGCCGGTCCAGTTCTGAGGGTGCACAGGTTGATCCGAGCATCCCGTGGAGCCGCAGAACTCCTTTCCGCAATTCATTCATGTAATCCAGCAGAAAGAGGGGGACCACAGATGACCCCAAACATCTGTTGTATGTTTGGGGTCATGATGCTGCTGTGGAGGACCAGTCAGGCATTCCTGATGGCGAGACGATGAAAAAGATAAATCCAAGTGTCAGGAAATTTTGCACATAATTGCAGAAATTACATTTATACACAAACATTTCTCTTTAAATTATCTGCATATTTGAAATGGTTATTCTGCTTGCTGCCAATAAAAGCCCAGAACTGTGTTCTGTCCGTGCTGAGTGGGTGAAATGTGTGTGTTGCAGCTCTGAGTTTGGTGTTTCACGAGTGACTCAGAGCTGACGGCTTTTTGTTTTGGGGGCGTCTGCAGCTGCGGCGCTGCTTGTTGCAGAGGAACCATCAACACAAACAGACAGCAGCATCCAGAACAGATCAGCTGGAGGCCTCAGCTAACACCACACCGAACTTTAGCTCATCGTCTGTAAAACGGACTCAGTTACAGCTGTTTTTGTTTTTCACTTGGCTCTAAAAGTCCATCAGTTATCTCATGTTTATTATTCAAGAGTTTCCGTCTTGTGGTTCTTGAGATATTTTGCTAACAGGCAACAGTTAACTTTTTGTGTTAGTCAGGTCAGATGGCTGTGGCACCTTGAATTGTGCACACGAGCAAAAGCGTTACAGAAGCCTGCAGATGAGCTTTACAACTGTTTTTCCTTTCATATGAGGTGCCAAGTGTAAAATAAAATGTTACACAATATTACTCTTAAATTCATTATTTAGCTCACTTCCTGCTAATGCTAACAGTTAGCTAACCAGGATGTTATACTGCAACAAACAATAAACATCAACGTATCATACTTAAAATCTAAATTCAACATGTGTTCGTTGAAAGTTTGAAGAGCAGCTCAGACACCGGCTGAAACTGCAAGTTTTATGTCTTATACCGAAATGTTAGCCCTATTAGCACCGTTAGCTGCTATAGCATTTGCTATTGTCTCAGGATGATGACATCATAAGAAGAGCCGAATGGCAATGGCTGCGTTCTTTTTCAAAATACTTAAATACGTCAACATTTAGCTTTTATGTTTAATTTTACACGTCAAATTTAGGATTTAATATTTATATTTTGTAACATTTAGTAAAAACTAGCAAAATGTAAAAACGGGCTAAAAACAATAAAATGTTAGTGAGAAAATTTTAACTCTCAAAGTGAGCTAAATAATGAAAATGTGTTAGTGACTTTTTTTTATTTTACATTTGACATCCCATACTTTCAGACAACTCTCAAAATGAAATCAAAAGTCTTATTACAGGATTTTTTTCCCCCAAAAATTGCAGTTATTTGTGCTGCCAAGATTAATTTTAAGCTTTTGGTTTTAAAGGTGCTCACTCTAAGACAGTGGTTCCCAAACTTTTCAGCTTTTGGCCCACAAAATAACAGTAACAGAGACCTGTGCCCACAGCTAGTTTTGGATGAAACATGGGCATAGTAATAATTTTTATACTACATATATCCATTTTAAATACACTAATTTCACAACTAAGGCAAAAATGTAATTAATTCAGAAAATCTTTTCAGGACCCCACCTTGATGTTTCGGGACCCCAACTTTGGGAAACACTGCTCTAAGATATGAGACTATATAGCAAATGGTGCAGATTCCACATGCAGGTCTGCGCTCAGTGTAAACAAAGGCTGAATGTCTGGAAACCTGCTTGAGTCACGATTAGACTGAACAAATCTAACATTTGATTTATTTTCAGTCACATCGACTGTAAACAAAACGAGTCGTTGCAGGCATCTGACCACAAATTTCACTTTTTAATTTAAGTAAGTAAAATATACTGAGTTGTGTTTTTTTTTTTTTTTCATGACTTTCTTGGAGGTTTTCTTCATGTGGGCGCAGTTTTATTCTCTGAGCACCTGTTTGGGCTAAGTTCTGCAGGTTTTGTGTGGTGGTGGGG